AGTTTTTGTAGTTATCTCCAGGGGTCCAGTGAAGTGCATGGGCTCCAGAGACACAGGCTGGGGCCATGTCTTGGCTAATTGTTGATCTACTTATTGTTGCATCCTGGGAATACTTTTGAGCTCCCAGTGTCTCAGTTTCCACATCTGTAAAATAGATATGGTAATAACACCCGCCCCTTGGGGGTTTTCTGAAGACTAAATTACCTAAAATGTGCAAAAGTACTTAAAACAGGACCAGACATTGTAAATGTTCAAGAAAATTTATTATTATTATTTTTAATCTAGTGAGGAGAGAGGTGATACTTTAGAGATGAGGGACTCAGAGAGGTTAAGTAATTCACCCAAGGTCATCGAGTTTGTAAACAGATACAGCAGGAATTTATTAGTACCCTGCTCTGACTGGCATGAAGGTCTGGGCACTTAGTCGCTACACTGTACTTAAGGGGTTTAGAGGGAGATCAGGAGGAAGAAGGAATCTGGTACTTCAGGCTGGGATTGAACCTCTAACCTCTGTGAATGCTTCGTAGCAAATGCTTAACTCCAAGCTGGCTTTTCCCAGCAGCTGGTCTGGTGCAGGACTGGTGGACCTCACCGTCTCAAGTCTTGGAATTGTCAAGAAAATAAAAATGAATGTTAATATTCTATTTTTAGGTTCAAGCTTGTGCCTTCTCTGCAGATTCCTTGGTGTGGTGTTCCAAGCCCTCCACTGCACACTCTCCTCACCTTTCCAGCTTCAGCTGGCTACACTACCCACCACCTACTGCACACTCTGGCCATCGTGGACATTCACCCACATCCAAATATGCCTCAATGTCCTCACCTCTGTGCCTCTTCTTATGCTCTGCCCCCCAGATGGGAACACCCTTATCCTCAGTTAAAACCTTTTTTATCTCCCAAGGCACAGCACGAGAGCCAGCTCTTCAAATCTGCCTTCTCTGATGGGTCCTCCATGAGAATTAACCATTTGTTCCTGGGTAGCCTCAGAGTCCTCTATTTACACCTTAATTTTAGTGTCACACTCTGCCTTGTATTATTTTGCTAGCTGCTTCAAATCCATCTTACCCTTTGCTTTGAGGGAGTGAAAAGGGGCTATATATTGTCCAACTTTGGGATCTCAGTATGGACATACGGGAAGTCAACAAAAATCGTCATGGAACTGGATTGAAATAGCCTAAGTTAGACAAAATTATGAAGGAAAGCTACTTATATTCACTTTCCTCTTTCCAATCATACCTAATGATTTGCAGGGGAGGGTCTGCACCTCTTGGGTTGTAGGATTTAAGTTCCTTGGCTAGAGTCTGCCAGGGATCAAACCCATGCCCCAGGAATGGAAGCACAGACTATTAACCACTGGATGACCAGGGAAATCCCCACACGTAATGATCTGGAAGGCTACATATATATATATATATATATGATTATAAAGGAATGTATGTTCAATGTAGGAAGTTTGGAAAATCTGGGAAAATATTCATAATGCAGTAAAAGTTATCTACAAACCCTCATCCAATAATTGTTAACATGTTGTCATATAGTTAGACCTATAACTAACTAAAAAAGAAAAAACAAAAACGCCTCACATTGCATATACTGTTTGTTTTTATTTGGCTGGACCACAAGGCATGTGGAACTTCCCCAACCAGGGATTGAACCTGCACCTCCTGCAGTGGAAGCATGGCGTCTTAACCACTGAACCACCACGGATTCAGAATATACTGTTTTGTAGCCTACCTTTCCCATAAACTATTTTGAATGGTTTCATAGACATGTAATATTCTTTTTTTCTCCTTTACAAAATTTTAATCCGAGGATAATAGCTTTACAATACTGTGTTGGTTTCTGCCATATATCAACATGAAGCAGCCGTAAGTATACATATGTCCCCTCCCTCTTGAACCTCCCTCCCACCTCCCAACCCCACATCTAATAGTCTTTAAAAATCATTTTAATTGTTGCACAGAGATCCATTTATCTATACCTAATCTCCACCCTGGGGCTTCCCTGGTGGCTGAGTGGTAAAGAACCCGCCTGCCAGTGAGTTATGACCAACCTAGACAGCATATTAAAAAGCAGAGACATTACTTTGCCAACAAAGGTCCGTCTAGTCAAGGCTATGGTTTTTCNAGAGGAGCCTGGCGGGCTGCAGTCTATGGGGTCACAGAAGAGTTGGACACGACTGAGGGACTAAACAAGAAAAATCTCCACCCCATCACCTTGTAGAGGAGAAGCTGACAGTCTCCTTACAGGAAGGCAGGGTCCCTGGGGCCTTACAAACAGTTACCAGCCAAGGGAAGACCTGGTTTTATTAAGGCACACCAGGCGGTCTCATGACCCTTCCCAAGTCAGTCCTTTGGCAAATATTTACACACTCAAGGGACCAGCCAGGCCTTGGGCTGAAAGGTGTGGGCACTGAGACAGAAGACGCAACTGACCTCCCAGGAGCTCATTCATTGAGCTCAGCCACAATACCATGCGCTCCATGGACAGAAGGAGTCTGTGGGGGCAGCCTGTTATGCACGGCAAGAGGGTTCAAGGGAAGTGCCAGAGGTACCTGGGGGTGTGAAGGTTGTGGGTGAAGTGGTAACTCGGATGGCACAGGGTTAAAGACTCCGCCTGCAATGCAGGAGACCCAGGTTCAATCCTTGAGTCAGGAAGATCCCCTGGAGGAGGGCATGGCAACCCTCTCCAGGATTCTTGCTTGGAGAATCCCCATGGACAGAGGAGCCTGGTGGGTTACAGACCATAGTGTCACAAAGAGTCGGACACAACTGAAGCAACAGCGCAGCATAGGAGAGTGAGGAGGAAGGAACAGGACTTGATAACCAATACATCACAGGGCAAGGGACACTGTGGACTGAGCTGTGAAGCCAGATGGAATGGGGATGGGAAGGAAATGCTCTGGGCCTCTTGCCTCCTTGCATTTGGGGTGTCCGAGGGTCCCACAGGTGGGGAGCCTCCGTAGGCATCTGGGTGTGTGGGGCTAGAGCCCAGGAGGGTGGTTTGGCCTGGGATCCTGGGGAACATTCAGCTCACAGGCAATGGTGGGAGTGAGGGAGGTTACCCAGTGGGGTGTGAGAGGCAGGGAAGGAGTCTGAGAAAAAGCCTCCTGGAAGAGAGACCCGAAAGGAAGCATATGTTACCAATGCCTAAGAAGCATTCTTCAAGAAGGAGAGACCATCACAGTGGTCAGTTTCATCTAATGACTATATGAATAATATATGAAAAGATTCCTAACAGCAAAAACTTCAAGCTTGCAGATGCATTTTCCCAGCTCCAAAATGCCAAGGCGACAGGGAGAGGAACTGCAGCGGGATCTCACAAGTAAGCAGAAAAGTGGCAGATGAACTGCGCCCTGGGCAAGTGTAATATAATATGGTGGGGAGCATTTGGGAAAGGAGACAGCAGTCATGACAGAGGTGTGGGTCAGTCCATCTAGATTAAGGATCTTTAACCTGGGGTCTAGGGAACAACTCTAGGAGTTTGAGGGGCCCCCCAAACTGAATAAACCAAGGAGTGAAAGGGCCTGGGGAGAGGTGGGTGGAAGAGAGGAGGTCCTCGGAGGAGTCTGGGAACCTGGGCACCGAGCTCAACTTGACAGGCTAGTCAAACCGGGCCTCCCCAGAAGGTGCAGTTCTGAGGTTTTTCCCTCTCCCAGGTCCCCAGTCTGCTGAAGAAACACCCCCGACCAGCAAATGATGGAGACACATGGGTGTCTGGTGCACTCTGGTTTGTGGTTTTTACCTTCGGATGTCTCTGTGGCTAGCACCGATTGTCTCAGCAGGCCAGGGGACTGCAAGCCCTGGTTGCGGGGGTGGGGTGGGGTGGGGTG